CTCCTATGTGAGCCTCCTAAGTAGCTGGGATTACATGTGCATGCCACCATGCTCAGGGCTATGCAGAAGATTCTTGAATCGTTTTTATAGGGATAAATAAGGGCAATTTATCATTGCTGTTTTTACTTATTTTAAAATATTAGATCTTGGTAGGATAATGTCTGACTCTATTCTCCTTTACTGTTGCCAATAAATGCTGATTCTGTGGCTGCAAGTAAATACCCAAACCTGTCATGGATACTACTACTTAACTGTTCTGACAGTTGGTCTTTTATTACCCTCATACTTGGATTATTGAGAATTAAAGCATATTAGTTTCCTTGGTTATGTGGTTCTGTACTTTGGTATACAAACTTTCTCTGGGGAGAGCTTTCTTCCCCTTACCTTTCTGGGAAGTTCAGAAGAATTCAACTCTAGCCAAAATAGTCTAAGAACCAAATGAATAAAAGAAAATACTGCACTGTGGTCTCATGTAAAGAAAGGGCAAATATTTATTTTTTATTCTCAGTGTTAATCATTGACTTAATACTTTAATAAAATGTTGTGAAGACTTGTAACTGAAAATAGTTGGCACAGCTAATTCAGGAGCCACAATTTAGCTATTTTAAACGAGTGCTACTTTAGCACCTGAATCCCAGAGTGATCATGTGGTTTGAGGAAATGCCAGAGTCTTCATCATAGATGCTGCCCTGTGTTTCAGATGGAGATGCTGCTGTGGGTTTCTTGTTTACACCCACACTGCGGCTGCATCACAAAGGGGAAAAGATGTGACCGTTGCGTTGCTTCAGTTCTGTGGTCTCAGTGCTTCATTCAGTTAGAACCTTAATGCCCCAAGATGGTTACAAGTAAAGCAGTAAATATCTGGTTTTTAGTTTCAGCTACAAAATAGATTTAAATTCAGGATATATGCATCCATCAGCCTGTATGTGGTGGATTCAGTAACCCTTCTATTTAAGATGAATGTTATCTTCATTCTGCATTTAAAGATGGGAGGATATAGAGCTAGGACTGAAATATTTATATGAATATATGCACTTGAAACATAAACTATTTTATAAGTACTTATTCATAAATATAAGTCTCCATTCTGTGAAGATCAGTTATGAAATAGTGTTGTTGTTAGACCTAATGAACCTGTGATCTTTTCTGTAGGTTTTCAGGATTTCCACATTGGTCACAGCTTTTAACCTTGAAGTAGACAGTGTGAATTTACTAAAAGCCATTAAATTTTATGCTTTAAGTGAGTGAATTGACTAGTATGTGAATTACATCTCAATAGCACTGTTAAAAAAATATAGACTTTGTGTTTAATAATGGATGAAAAGGGAGACGGTTATAGTGCAAAGTGAGTTATACCTTTGCTTACATAATTCTAGCTAAAACGGTAAAAAATTTTTAAGGAATATTGTTCTAACTTAAGTTTGGGAGCATTTACATTTTAAGGGATCTTTAATGAAAGTGTTAGGTATATGAATAAAACAAACTAGGTAAATATTTTTTAATTTAAACTGATACTACTTTATTTATTTATTTATTTTCTGAGCTGGAGTCTCATTGTGTTACCCAGGTTGGCCTCGAACTCCTGGGCTCGAGGGATCCTCCTGCTTCAGCCTCCTGCTTCAGCTGGGACTACAGGTGTGAGCCTTTGTACCCAGCTCTAGTATTACATTATTTTTTAATTTTATAAATCTATTTGAATATTTTTAATACTTATAGTAGAGCCAAGGTCTTGCTATGTTGCCCAGGCTGGTCTCAAGTTCCTGGGCTCAAGCAGTTCTCCCATCTCAGGACCTCCAAAGTGCTCTGATTACAGGTGTGAGCCACCACATCCAGCCTGTAGTATTACTTTAAGCACTGACACTATGCTATGTTGGCTTAAACAAATACAATTTTAATTGCATAACAGTAGAAATCATGCTTCAAAAATATAAAAAACCTAAGTCTGTTTTTCTGTGAGTTATTCCAAACTCTTGACTCTGATTCAAGGTGTCAGTATATAATCATTACATATGTTTGAGTAGTTTAGCTTATGGATTGGTTTGTTTCTTGTTAGGTACATTCTATTAGAGCATCTTTTTATCGTGTATTATATAATACATTACATTGTAGTCTTTTGTGGTTTCTTGCATTTTGTTATGGTTTGGCAAGTCATTATCTTTTTCAGTTTTCATGACAATTCTGTCTCAGAGGAATTTTATTTTTTCATTTAAAGATCTCAGGACCCACTATATGCAGAGTATTGTGCCAACAAAAGTGTAAGAAGTCATCCTGTCTTCATATTTACACTCTTCTCAGAGTAGTTAGAACAGGCATCTGGAAGGTGGGCTGTGGCAATGGCCCTAGAAAAAAGGAGCAGGGAGGGCTTGATGGTAAGTAAGGGGGTGTGTTACACACTTACGGACACGTTAGGGAAGGGCTGCTATTACTATCCAAGGGCATGGCCTTATGTTGAGTGGCAACAGCAAAATACAGAGTGCATGAGGTGGAAATCATGGGCATGTTCTGTGGGTTGGAAGCATCAGAGCCTTGTGAGCAGCCTTGTAGAGGCTGGTTGCAAAGGTGGATTTCTGAGCTGTCTCATCTGGAGGGAACTCCATGAAAGTTCTGATAGGGTTGTAACTCCTCCACCTGGCAGGAGGCTGCACTGAGCTTGTGACTTACTCTGGGCCCAGTAGTAAGGAATGGAAGTGGTCCCACTAGACCCCAGCCCAGGTCCCCCGGGGTGAGGAGTAGAAGTGCTCCTTCTAGATGGCTGGCGCACGCCCTCAGGGCAGTTCTGATCTATACGGTGTGAGGACTTGGGTGTGAATACTATTATGCTTTTAAGAAAGAGTTTGGACATAATAAGGGGTGAAAGCAGTGATGTATTCAGATCTAAGCTTGTGAAATCAGAAAAAGAAAGCTACTGTGTAATGCAGTATAGTTCTGTTCTTGCTGTAGCTACCAGAAAACTCACAGCCAAAATTATTGCTGGGCTGTTGGGCCCTGTACTACTGTAATAGCTGGGAGTACCCATTGCACCTTTCTTCAAGTAGACTATCTTCTTTTACTCTCAATAATCTTATTGTGCCTTGAACACTGAGTCACCTCATGTTCTTTTGGAATTGGGTGGGGCATAGTTCTTACACAGATGGTGAATATGTTGGTAGTTGTCTTTTGCATGGGATCATTTTTCCATAAAGCATGTTTTATTTATGGAGGTTTTTCCCAAGTCTTTCTCCCTGTCACTGATTTTTTTCCTCGTTTATTTTTCTTAACTGTTTTTAAAGTTCTATAATGTTTGTTAAAGCAAACTATTTATTTTTCTGAATTTTTCCTGGATTACATATGAAGAAACTAGCCCAGTTTATATGTAAGGATTAAAAATGAGTCTTTATGAATTTATGAACATTTATTAGGAATTTGCTATGTTTTAGGTGCTATATTCCAGGTACTGTGCTAGGTGCTGGTGACACAAAATATGTGTCAGACAAGGCCTTAAACTCAGAAGTTTACTAACTGGCAGTAACACAACAAATCTGTTTAATCCTAGCTTTAGTTATAGTATGAATTGGTGCCTTTTTTAAAAAATTGTTATTTATTTCTTTTTGACACAAAGTCTTGCTCTGTTGTCCAGACTGGAGTGCAGGTGGCACAATCATAGCTCACTGCAGCCTCAAACTACTGGGCTCAGTTACCCCTCCCAGGTCAGTCTCCCCAGTAGTTTGGACTACAGGCATGCACCACCATGCCTCGCTAATTTTTAAAAAAATTTTTGTAGGCCGGGCGCGGTGGCTCAAGCCTGTAATCCCAGCACTTTGGGAGGCTGAGGCGGGTGGATCACGAGGTCAAGAGATCGAGACCATCCTGGTCAACACGGTGAAACCCCGTCTCTACTAAAAATACAAAAAATTAGCTGGGCATGGTGGTGTGTGCCTGTAATCCCAGCTACTCAGGAGGCTGAGGCAGGAGAATTGCCTGAACCCGGGAGGCGGAGGTTGCAGTGAGCCGAGATCGCACCATTGCACTCCAGCCTGGGTAACATGAGTGAAACTCCGTCTCAAAAAAAAAAAAAAATTTGTAGAGAGGGGGTCTCACCAAGTTACCCAGGCTGGTCTTGAACTCCTGGGCTCGAGCGATCCTCCTGCCTGTACCTCCCAAAGGTCTGGGGATACAAGCGTGAGCCATTGCACCTGGCTATTATTTTTTAACTGATAAAAGTATTATTTTTATTGTGTTCAGCCTGTTTTGAAAATGTATACATTGTGGAATTTGCTGTATCAAGCCAATTAACAAATGTATTATGTCACATGCTTAACCACTTTTTGTGGTGGAATACTAGAAAATCTCAGTGATTTTTCAAGAATATATTACATTGTTGCTAACTATAGTTACAGTGTTGTACCATAGATCTCTTGAACTTACTCCTCATAATTGAAATGTTCTATCCTTTGGCTAATATCTCTAGACTTGCCCTCATTCTTTTAGTAAAAGTAATACATACTCATTTTTTTTTAATCCAGGAAAAAATGTATTAATATCATCTAAAATACCAAACCATCTGTAATGGTAGTTGGTGGAAAATTATAAATTGAATAGGGTTTAATGGATTATAGCAGTACCTAGATCAAAGTATCAATACATGGCTGGGCGCAGTGATTCATGCCTGTAATCCCAGAACTTTGGGAGGTTGAGACAGGCAGATCAGGAGGTCAGGAGTTCGAGATCAGCCTGGCCAACATGGTGAAAACCCCTCTCTACTAAAAATACAAAAATTAGCCAGGTGTGATGACACATGCCTATAATCCTAGCTACTTGGGAGACTGAGGCAAGAGAATCACTTGAACCAGGAGGCAGTGGTTGCAGTGAGCTGAGACCGTGCCATTGCACTCCAGCCTGGGCAACAGAACAAAAAAAAAAAAGAATCCCTTTCTAACATTTAAAAAAAAAAGGAGGGAAGGAGGGACAGAGAGAGGGAGGGATGGAAGGAGGGACTGAGGGAGGGAGGGGAAAGTATCCATACAAAGTAAGAAGCACAACCCACATGCTCTTGTGTATTCACAGCAGCAGTGTCCTCTTGGGTAACAACTAGTTTTGTGCCTGGTGACTGCATGCTAGAATTAGTGAATAACCATACCAACAGCAGCTGTAGAAATACTAATATGATGGTTTTCATTACACTTTCTTTATGACTTGTAACATTGTCATTGAAACAGCCTGATTCTTTTTTAAAATTTGTTCAGTTACATAGTGAAGTCTACTTTTATCTTTCTATTTTTAATGAACATGGAGTTGTATTTTTCTTCATTTCTTAGCTTATGGCTAGACAGGTTTTAAAAACATAATTTTTTTGATTTGAGAAGAAAGCATGCTCATTGAATAATAAGCTTTGGAGAAGAATGAAGAGGAGAAAAGTCACCTGCAATTCTACTTACTAGTGATCGCCATTAGCAACATTTGGTGGATTTTGCTCATCTTTTAATGACATGTTTGGATGCATATGTGTGTGTATAGTATCCTCCTTTCTTAAATGCTGTATTATGGATATTATGTTATTATTCAGTAATAAGAGTTTGACTATTGCAATATCATCTGTGTTATGGAACTACCAGGCTTTATTTAAATGCTGTCTGATAGACATTTGAAAAACTAGATTGTTAGATATTATATGATGAGAAGAGATAAAAATAGAATTTGAGATATTTAATTTCCTACTCTTTTTAAGTTATGAAAACTTATTTACTTGAGCTGTTTATTAGATATGTGTCTAGGATATATGAATTATTTTTGAACTCATTAGACTGGCATGTTAATTTCATAAGCAAAAGTCTGGCCATGGAAGGCAGTGTTTGTTTTTGCGTGGTATGGTATTAAAAGACAGAAGATTTATCCCCATCGCTTTTTATCTGAATAACCTTTGGAAGAAAACATTCCCTCCATAATGAGTCACAGATTCAGATGGCTTTTCTTCCCTGTGCTGTGTTGGTATATTAAAATTTGTTAACAATTACAAGTATTTTTAACTGCAATGGTTTCGTGTAGCACAATTGAGTGATGGCTACTTTGAGGTTCCTGAGATGACTCGCTGAATTGGTTTGTCCTTGCCTGGACGTGACCAGTCATGTGGCTAGTGGCCATTTGAGTGGGCTGCCTTCATCCCTGTGGGGTGTGCTGAGGCATGGCTGCTGGTGTCTGGTTAGCTTTGAGGCTCCCACCGTCTCTGCAGAGCCCACAGCTCGGCCCCTAGCTCTGGTGTGTGGGTTCCGCCCTGAGACCCAGCCCTTTCTAACACCCTGCCCTTGGGTGAGTCAGGCACAACTCTTTAACTAACCTTGTTTCCTCTCTGGTTTCTTGGGGGTTGAGCCTGACTCTGTGCTGTGGTTATGAGGCTGGAATGGGGAGAAGCCAGTGAACACACTGGACATGGGTGGACGGCGGGCAGTGAGGCATGTCCTCAGGTCAGCCGTCTGAGTCACAGGCCCTAAGATGCACAGCTGTGACGATGCTCCCCTTGCAGGCAAGTCCTGGTGTGGCCTTTGCTACCTCCCTCCCCCACTTCTGCTGAAATGGAACAGATGAGCCCCGGGGTTTTTCTTTGTTTCTGTTCCACTGTGGTTTGTTTATGTTGTTGCTAAGAATTTATCTACCACAATGCTTTGTTATTATTAACACTTGCAAGTATGTATGCCTTAAAATTTCACTTTCTCTCACTTTTTCTGTGTATATCCCTAAAATAATATCCAAGGAGCCCACGTTGTCACTCTTCTTCCTTGCCTTGATTTGCTCTGTGTCTTCCTCCTTAAAACAAATATTGTTCCAAGGACATGGCTCATCCTTCTTGGCTCCACTTCCAGGAGACACCCTGATGCCATAGATAATGATAGTTAATTTTACATTTTATACATATATATAACATTTAATTATTCTAATATTCAGTAACTTCTTTGTGCGAATAAGTGCTGGTTAGTGACTAAAAAGTGGGGATTTGAAAGTGCACATCGTATTTCGGGGTCGGTTGTAATAGTTTAATTTTAACATGTATCATGTGGAGTTGTTTCCTTCTGTTTATGTCTGAGGGATTGATATGTTTTAAGTTTCCCAGTGTAAGGTAGATCTGTAGAAATCAAATCCAGTGACAAGAGAGAAGAACATTATCTGACTTGCTTTATGCCATAAATATTATGCTGGAGTATATATTATATGCTAGTTTTTGGTTATGGTGCTCACATTTCAGTATCAAATTGCTAAAATTATTAATCTGAATGATGCTTTCACCTTCTTTTTCTTATGAAATTTTCTTACGTATTTTTATTTAGTTTAATCTGAAAACCAAAAGCATTTAGTTTAATCTGTAAACCGAAAGTATCTGAAACAAGTCTCAATTAATTTAGTATTTCATTTTGCTAGGGTTAATGTGCCCAAGGTGGTTGACCTTTAAGTTTTAGGGAGACATAAGGTATCAATCAATACATGTAAGCTGTACATTGGTTTAGAAATGTGGGACAACTGGAAGCTGGTCTGTGGTGGGGGCGCTCCAGCTCGTAGCTGGACTCAAAGATTTTTCTGATTGGCAGTTGGTTGAGTTGCTATCTAGAGACCTGGAATCAATAGAAAGCAATGTCTGGATTACCTTGTGGAGACTAAGATTTCATTGTACAGATGAAGCCTGCTACCTGCAGGCTTCAGAGAGAATAGATGATAAATGTTTCCTTTCAGACTTGGAGTCTGTTGTCTCAGCCTTAAGGTCTGTGTTGATGGTAATGGTAATGAGGTGTGTCTGATGCTCCCCCCAACATCATGGCCTAAAGTAGTTTTACAGGTTAACTTTGGAATGCCCCTGGCAGAGAGGAGGGGCTGTTCAGTTAGTTGTGGGCTTATAATTTTATTTTTGGTTTTACTTGTTACCCAGTTTGTAAGTTGTTATATAAAGCTGATGTTGACATTCATACACAATCAGAAGTGAAGAGCGTACTGAGATCATTAACTTGTTTCATTTGTGTTACAAGTCTTTAAATGGCTACTCAGTGCATAAGTAAAATTTGTTAACACCGTTTACCTTAATATCTGAGGGCTGGAATTTTGAAACCAAAACCCTAAACATAATCCAATACAAAGTAACAATACTATTCCTACTTATTCCTCCCCTGTCCCTCCCCGCACATATAAAGATCTTGGAATTTATCCAAGAATTGATTTCACTTAATAACGATTGGTGTTGTGTGTGAAGCGAAGTTTTAAAAGAAATGCTCCATAAATGTTAACGTCATTCCTGGAGCAGCAGGGAAATGATGACATGGTCATTCTTGCTCTGTTTTGGGGCCACTGTGACAAAGTGCCATAAACTTGGTGGCTTCAAACAACATACGTATCTTCTAATGGTTCTGGAGGCCAGAAGTCCGAAATCAATCCCTCTGGGCTAGAACGAAGGGCTGGGCAGGTCCTGCACTCTGGAGGCTCCTGGAGAAGCTATTCCTGCTTTTCTAGCTTCTCAGCCTGCCGCATTCCATGGCGGCAGGCCCTTCTCCTTCAGAGCCCCTGCTTCCAGCCTCATAGGGTCTTTCTGCTTTCTGTTTTGTCAAACCTCTGTTCCTCCCTCTTTTCTTTCTTTTCCGTAGACAAGGGTCGAGGCTGGAGTGCAGTTGCATGATCATAGCTCACTGCAGTCTTGATCTCCTGGACTCAAGCACCCCTTCCACTTCAGCCTCTTGAGCATCTGGGACTACAGGCCTGCAGATAGCTTAATTAGCAAATTAGATTAGATTAGCTAATTTGCTAATTTTAAACAATTTTTGTCTCACTGTGTTGCCGAGGTGGAATTTCCTCCCTTTTTAAGAATACTGGGGATGGCATTAGGGCATCCATGGGTAATCCACCACCACCAAAGAACTTTTATTTTATCACATCTGCAGCATTCTTTGCTGTATAAGGCGACACTCACAAATTTCAGAGATTAGGACGTGACCATCTTTTGAGGGCTGTTCCTCAGCTTCCCATACAACCCTGTATCTTGGAGCATTCAGGAGCCAGGAAGGCTCAGTTCTAGCGCTTTTCCTGTGCCTTAACATCTCAGAAATCAGATTTATTTTACAAAGGTGTCATTGTTAATGGACAGTGCTCTTAGTGGCACCTAAAGTATTGGTGCAGCTTATAATGGATCACATCTTGGATTCAATACTGAGGGTTTTTTTTTTTTCCATTTTTGGCTGTAGCCCTGGTGCCTGAGGTTGGGTGTGGTCTTTCAGAGGTGGAATAAGCAAATCCACACAGGATAAGGAGGAGCTGTGCAGTGGGAAGAAGGGTTAGGAACTGTTGGGAACTGAGATGACCACAGGAAGCAGCACTGTGAGTTACATGAGGGGAAGAGTTGGGGCTTGATCCCTAGACACAGGGCAGCGTCCAGATACCAACTAGAGGGATGTGTCCCTATTTAAAAGGGAGATTTAGCAAGATAGATTTGGCAGGGATATCCAGAGGGACTAGGGGCACAGATCTAAGCATTGAAGGGGAAGGAGCACCCGAATCTCATGGGAATAGCTTTGGGGAGGAAGGAAGTAGATGAGTGAGCCGGGGATGGGAACAACAACCCCAGGGTGTAGAAATAATGCTAGAACGATAGGAGCAGTAGTTTGAAGCTGGGGCTGGGGTGGGAGATTAATTTAGTCTTTAATGTTGGTGTAAGAAACCCAAGGAAGTTCCAAGAGGACTCAGTGCAACAGCACCCAGAGCCTCGCTGGTGAGATAGGAGACAGGCAAGGGAGAGGAGGAAGATCGTGTGCGTAGCTTCACAAGGGCTGACTGCACTAGGAGGAGTGTAACAGAAATCCCGTGGAAAAACAAACGGGAATGTGCTTAGCACTCATTGCAGGCTGTCTTCTAAACTCTTTACACGGAAGTCATTTAAACCTCACAGCTAACCTGCCATCTTCGCTTTATAAGTAAGGAAACAAGCCCTGCTAATGTCAGAGGTGAGCAGAGGCAGCCCTTGACCTGTGAGGTCTGAGGCTGCTGTGCATTCTGTGCTCTCCTCTCTCGATGGTAGTAGAGGAGGAACTGGGGACTCGGCACCGTCCAAGTCATTTTTACAACCCCAAGAGAATTGTATGTCGTTTCTGCTGTTAGAGGAGGAGCTAAGGTCTGAGAGACTCTGTAGTCACCCCAGTAGAAGTCAGGTGACCCCACCTGGCCGTACTCAGTGCCCTGGGAGCTGGGCCCAGCCCATAACACCTGTGCTTGTGGAAGGCACCAGAGATGCCAGCGTGGTGGCGGGTTACAGTTTCCAGAAGAGCAAAACCAATGCAAGTGAATGACCCACCTCCTTGTTGGCCAGTGGGAGCTTCTCTGGGTGTTTCAAGCTTATATACTGTCAGCATTCTTAAATACATTATGAGGTGACAACCAGACTGCCATATATTCTTTAAATGTTATTGATCTGTGAGAGTAATCAGGACTAGTAACAGAAGGGCTGTCCCTTGTCTTTGTTTGTTTCTTGCTGTTACACATTTTGTCTAGGATTATTTTCCTCCTGCGTGAAGAACTAACTTTAGTATTTCTTTTGGTGCAAGTCTGCCAGCAATGGATTTTCTCTATTTTCGTCTTGATAGGTATTTACTTCACTTTCGCTTTCTTAAATTAATAGACTTCATTTTTCAGAACAACCCTGGGTTTCCAGAAAAATTGAGCAGATAATACAGAGCCCCCACATCCCTTCTTAAAATTTCCTGTCCTACATTTGTCACAACTAATGAACCCACACGTTGATATATTTAACAATGTTAACTGAAGCCCACGGTTTACAGTACGGCTCATTCTCTGTATGGAGCACTCTGTGGGTCTTGACAAATGGTTAATGTCACGAATCAACTATTACAATGTCACAAAATAGTTTCCCGGCCCTAAAAATCTTCTGCATTTCAGCACTTCCTCTCCGTCTGCCTGTGCTCACTGATCTCATTGTTTTGCCCATTCTAGAATGTCATATATTGGAATTATAAAGTATTGGCTTTTTCAGATTGGTTTATTTCACTTAAAAATATGCGTTTTAGGTTTGTCTATATCTTTTCTTTGCTTGATAGCTGTTTTCTTTGTTTTATTCTTACTGCAGTAAATTCAGATAACATAAAACCATTTTAAATGACACAGTTCAGTGCCATTTATTACCTTTACATGAGGTGTAATTGTCACTTCTGTCTGGTTCCAAAACATTTTCTCTGCCCCAAAAGGAACCCTGTTTTGTGCCCATTAGCAGTCATGCCCTGGCTCCCCTCCCCAACCCATGGCAACCACGTCTGCTTTGTCTCTGTGGCCTTACCTGTTCTGGATATTTCATGTGAATGGAGGCATGTTAATATCTGTGTGATCTATGTGTGGCTTCTTTCAGTTAGTATAGTTTTGAGGTTCATTTGCATTGTAGCGTACACCAGTGTATCATCTCTTTAAAGCTGAATATTCCTGTATGCGGCTGCCCCACAGTTTGATTATCCATTCGTCCACGATGGTCATTTGGGTTGTTTCCACCTGAATATTGTGAATGCTGCTGCCATAAAATGAGACTGTTGTGAATGGTACTGCCATAAACATTGATGTACGAGTTTTTGTTTGAATACCGATTTTCAATTCTTCCAAGTATACACCTAGGAATAGAATTGTTGGGTTGATATTTACCATTTTGAGGAATGCCAGACTATTTTCACAATGCCTATACCGTTTTACATTCTCACCAGCCATATATCAAGGTGGACTTCCTCCACATCCTTGCCAACACTTGTTTTTTTCTGTTTTTTATTGTTACTGCTGTCCTAGTGGGTGTGAAGTGGGATTCGTGGCTCTGGCTTACATTTCCCTGATGTAAGCCAGAGGGAATTTACATTTCCACTCATGCCACCTTCACGTGACTGTGCATTTCTTCCATCTCCACATTCAGTTAGATGGTTTGGTAGCTTGAAATTGGCCATGGCGGGAATATTCACACCTTGGAAGTTAGTGGTTTCGGGGAGGTGGCTATGAGCAGGAGCTGGCCAAGCCCATCCCTGCTCTGAAGCCTGTCCTCCTCCAGAGAGACTCCCCTGTCCTCTGGAAGGCAGAGCGGGAGCAGGCTGGCTTCTGCAGGGCAATTCTGAGCCCGCCTGCGGAAGCTCTGGCTGCCCCTGATCCTTTCCGATCTAAAGCCCAGCCCTCCTGATGTTGTGACTCAGAATCTGCAGTGTTTCCTAAGCGCCTCCTGGTCTGTCCCAAAGTCCAGTTTGTGCTTTCTCAGTACAACATGCTTTTGCCAAAAGCTCTGTTTTGCTCCTTGAAGGTTAGCTTCTGCCCTGGGTAGCTTAGGAACTTAGCAAATTCCTCTTCAGAGAGTCTGTACCCTTCTTCTCGCTTCCCTCTCTCAGGGATCTGGGCCCTTCAGGTTCTGGTTGTTCAGCTGACCAGACTCCGGTTCTTGTCCCACCAGTCTCCCGAGACGGCCATAAGGCCTGCTGGCTTCTTGGAATCTCAACCACATTTTTCTGGATTTCTCAACCTCTTGTAGCACAACCTAGAAGGAGAACAGCCACATGAAGTTGACTCCCCACTCTGTGGTCTCTGCCTCCCCTGAATCCTGCAGTGTTTCCAGTGTTTTCAGGTGTGTGCGTGAGCTCTGGCAGGCTGTGCACGTGTGCGTGAGCTTGTGTTCATGTACCTGTGTGCTCCTGTGTTTTCAGGTGTCTGTGGGGTTCATCTTTATGGTCTCACCAAATAGTTCTGATGTGTTTCTCAGTGTTTAACTAATTTGGCGGATAATTTGGGACTCACAGTGGAATGGCTTTGCCCCTCATTTATCATTGAGGCTGAGCCATGTGCTCTTTAAGGACCAAATAGATCGCTGAGGTACCTTTGTTGGTTGGTTAAGCCATGAACAAGGAGCTGTGAGTTAGGCCACTGATTTACTGCTGGTCGTCTGGCTTTACTTATTTTGTTCTGTTATTATTTGGGGAAGTATCTGATTAAAGTCAGTGGGCCATGGTAAAAGCAGTATGTGTTTTAGAGATTGAGATATTCATTTCTTTTTCTTAATTTTAATTTTCTTTCTTTTTTTCTTTTTTTTAAGAGAGAGTCTCATTCTGTTGCCACACTGGAGTGCAGGGTGTAATCACAGCTCACTGTAGCCTTGAGTTCCTGGTCTCAAGTGACCCTCCTACCTTGGCCTCTCAGAATGCTGGGATTGCAGACATGAGCCACTGTGCCTTACCCCTTTTATTTTTTTAACAGCTGTATTGAGATATAATTCACGTACCATACAATCCAGCCATTTAAACTATGCAATTAACTTTTTCAGTATATTTTCATGATTGTGCAACCATCATCAAAATTTCTTAGTAGAACCTTTTGTCTTCCGTAAAGAAGGCCTACACCCATTAGCCCACAATCCTCAGACCCCTCCACTGCTCTCCCTGTCACCTCCACGCTAGCCACCCACTAATTCACTTTTTCTCTTTGGGAAGACAAGACACCTGCACATCCTGTGTAAATGAAATCTTACAACATGTATCTTTGTGATGAGCTTCTTTCTTTTTTAAAAAAAAAAATATTTATTCAAGACAGGTCTCACTCTGTCACCCAGGCTGGAGTGCAATGACGCGATCATAGCCCATTGCAGCCTCCACTTCCCAAGCTGAAGTGATCCTTCCATCTCAGCCTCTTGAACAGTTGGGACCACAGGCATGCACCACCGTGCGGTTTTTTTTTTTTTTTTTTTTTGAGATGGAGTTTCGCTCTTGTTACCCAGGCTGGAGTGCAATGGCGCGATCTCGGCTCACTGCA